GAAATGAGGCCTGATTTTGCTAAAAGGTTAACTATTTCATTTGTTTTGTGGTATTGTCTCCTCTTGCACTAAGAGTATTTGTGCTTCATAGAAACTCTAGAGTGATGAAAAACTGAAAATAGAAGCATTTGAAAACACAAATGTTCAAGTTTGAGGTATACATACCTGTTTTTTTTTTTTAAATTTAAATTAGATTGATATGTCAATATGTCATATGTGCCATGTACCAGTGACACTCTTATCACCATCCTTTTAAGGTAAAAGTACAATGGTCAAGGTTTGTATTGTTATGACTTTGTTCTTTTCAACTCGGAGTTTGGTTTAGTTTAGTTAAGTGAGAAGTACCCTTTAGTTCAATTCAGCACATAATCTCATTTTCCTAAGTATATTTGATCCAAGAAGTGAAAGGACCAGCCAACAGAATGTGATGACCATACAAGAAAATTTAATAAATGGATGCTGCTTATTAGAGATTGTGATTACCATTTTGACAAGAAAGTTAATAAAAAGGATGTTTCTTATTGTTTGAGCTTTTCATTTTGTGACAAATCTCAAACAAATTTCAAACAATATTGTTCCTAGTTTTTTTTATTTCACATTTTTTGGGCTTTAGGTTGTATGCAGAAGATAGTGTCGTGGACATTATTTGATACGATAGAGGACATTGAAGTTGCAAGGACGACAATGGTGGTAGACGATAAAGGGCAATGGCGACACTGGACAAGAAAGGTGTTGTGATAGGTGGCTGACGACGACCGTGGAGTAGATATGATTATGAATTAAGGTTTGACGCCTGAAATGGAATTTTGCTATATATTCATATCAAGAAAATGACTATTTTACTCATTTAAATATTTTTCTCATCACAAACTCAAGGTTATTGAGAGTGAAAGAGTGATAGAGGTGGAAAGGTGCAAAATTTCATTTAGCAAGTTATGTGCATAATACAATATTACAACAATGGAAACGTGTGTACAATTTGAAAGACATGATGAACACAAAGTATGTGGAGCGAGACTATTTTATCTATGTCAAGATTTTGTTGATCTTAAAAAAAATATCCAAGAATAACCCGGGCAAATCGAGAGGGGGTCAGAGTGCGGGGGGGGGGGGGG